GTTTTTGTTTAGCTAGTTTTAAAAATTAAAAATTATTTTTTTTTTTAGAATTTCATACATGAGCATTGTCTTTGCATTATTTCCATCCCTCTCAGTCCCTTATCAACTCCTCCCACGTCCTCCCACTTCCTCTCAATTTCTTGGCCTCTTCTTTGATTATTATTGTTACATATATATAGAAATTTATGAATATACATACATATGTATATAATGCACTAGTTCATTTAATATTGTTCATGTGTTCCTGGTTGTAGGGCTGCTTATTTGGGATTAGATAACCTTTCAGGAAGTTAGTCCCTGAAGAAAACTTACTCTTCTCCCAGCAACCATTGATTGCCTATAGCTAATCATCTTGAGGTGAGCCAGCCTTAAGTGACACATATACAGTGTAACATCTACACTATACCTAAAGCTCAGAGACACACTCCTTATCCATTCCTCCGCTGAGGGGCTAGGCTATCCTCAAACTTTGATCATGATGAACACAGCTGGAATGAACATGAGACTGCTAGTGTAGATTCTTTCTCATTAGTATTAATATTAGGAGGCGAACTGGTGGACCTGCTTTCAGTTTTTTGGAGGATACTTCATACTGTTTACCAGTGCATCCCAACTGAGAGGACGAGGCTTCAGTTTCCCAAAGTCCAGGACATTTGTCGCCTTGCATGTTTTCTGATTTTATTTTGTTTTGTTTTTGAGACGGAGTTTCCCTGTAGCCCCAACTAGTCTGGAACACACCATGTAGACCAGACTGAACTCGAACTCACAGTGATCTGCCTACCTCTGTTTCTTGAGTGCTGGGATTATATGTCTGTGCCACCATGCCTGGCATCACCTTTCCTGTTTTTGATACTGTCCTAGCAAGTTTGAGGTGACACATTAGTGTATTTTCATTTCAATTTCCATGACAATCAGTAGCATTGCAAATGTTTTCTTAGACTTGTTGCCTTCTCCATAACTTCTTTGGTTATTTGGGCCCTTGGTTCTTTATTAGAACAGTAAATGTTTGTTATTGAGTGGGAGGGTTCCTTGGCTTATTTTGGAAATTAACTTTTCATCGGCTCTCTAGTTGGCAAGTATCTTCTTACGTTTTCATTTTCTTGTCTAATTATTGTACAGAAGCCTTTTTGTTTCCCCTTTTTGATCTTACTCCCTCCTTTTGTTGTTGTAACTATGAAGTAATTAGTGAGACCAACATCAGCGAAGGAAAGGCTGCTTTTGCATTTCTTCCAGGAGTTTATGGTTTCAATTCTTAGGATTAAGTGCTCACCCATTTTCCACTGACTTTTGAGTTCAGTATAAGAATCCGATTTCTTTCTTTATTGTGTGAATATTGTTTCCCCAACACCTTTGTTGAAGAGCTTATTCCTTTCCATAGTTTATTCTTGATAGTTTTGTTGGCAATCAATGGACTTTTAAAAAATATTTTATTATTTTTATTTTATGTGTATGAGCGTTAAGCCTGCATGTAGGTAAAGTGTGCCCATGTCGTGCAATGACCGTGGAGGACAGAAGAGGCTGTCAGATCCCCTGGAACTGGAGTTACAGACAGTTTTTAGCTGCCATATGGGTGCTGAGATTCAAACCCGGGTCTTCTGTAAGAACAGTCAGTGTTCTTAACCACTGAGCCATCTCTCTAGCCCCAGGAGAGATCAGTAGACTTTTAAGCACAAATTTATTTCTGGGTATTTTGTTTTGTTCCACCAGTGTCTATGTCTGTCTTTATGTTAGTACCGTAGGGTCTTATTACTATAGCTTTGCAATATATTTTGAAATCAGGAAATGCACGGCCTCCAGCTATTTTTATTTTGCAATGTCGTTTTACCACTTTTATTTTATTCTTGTGCTAACACACACATTTAAAATTATTTTGTTTTCTACTTCTATAGAACTGCATCAGGGGTGTTTGATATTGTATTGAACTTGGATATTTCTTGGGCAATAAGGACTTGTTAGCGATATTAAATCCTTCAATGCATGAACTCGAATGCCTTTTCAGTTGTTTCTGTCTTTATTTCACCAGTGTTTTTTAAATTTTCAGTGCACAAAGCTTTCACCTCCTTTTATCTTCTGTGACCTTTTGAATCTTATGGTATCATATGTAATTACAGCTCTCAAACCTCACTTACCAAATACGCGTTCATTGGAAAACACTCCCGACAGCTCACATGCCTGGTCTTTTTCCTTAGGGTGCAAATGCTCTGGTCACATATGCTCTCATTAGTGGTGCTGATGACAGCTTCCGCATTGACCCTGAGTCTGGAGACCTGATAGCCACCAGGCGGCTGGACAGGGAGCGGCGATCCAAATACTCACTGCTGGTTCGTGCTGATGATGGCCTTCAGTCCTCAGACATGAGGATAAACATCACCATCAGTGATGTGAATGATCACACCCCCAGATTCTCCAGACCTGTCTACTCTTTCGACATCCCAGAAGACACAATCCCTGGTGAGTGGTGGTGCCTTGAGAAGCATTTGCAAGAAGCACCTTTAACTATATTGACAGACTGTGTCCTGGCTGTTTTTAATTAGTGAATAGTCTTTACCATATGCTGCTAGTTATAAAACATATACCCTACATTTTGTAATTTTATTTATATCTTTGGTGTAATTCCTAAGCAAATTACTGAATTTTAGAGCAAATAAGGCTAATTATCTGATTTAATAACTGCAGATATTTTTATTTCTGGAAGTATCTGCGACCCAGGTTGTTGGTGTTGATAGAAGCCAGTTTTGATTCTCTTTTCTACTTTAAAAATGCCAGTCAAGAAGAACAATATGGGAAAAACTGAGCTCAATGAATATAGTGTTCATGAGCTCTATCGTCAGGCGAGGACATTCATTTCTCTTGACATTAACTTTTTCTTCTTGAAAACAGAAACAATAATTGTTGCTAGAACTAGAAAAATAGTTTATTTATGGAGTTGGGGTGATGGCTCAATGCCTAAGAGCACTGACTGTTCTTACAGAAGACCTGGGTTCTAATCCCAGCACCCACATGTTAGCTAACAACCATCTGTAACTCCAGTTTCAAGGAATCCCAAGCCCTCTTCTGTCCTCTGCAGGCATTGTATGACACAGGTGCACTTGCACACATGCAGGCATAACGTTTTATTTCATACACATAAACTAAAAATAAATTAATAATTAAATAAGTAAAAAAACAGTTTATTTAGAAAATAAATATGAAGTTTGGTGTGGTGGCTTATGCCTGTACTCCCAGCCCTCAGGAGGTGAAGCAGGAGGATGACTGGAATTACAGGACGGCCTCAGCTACATAGTGAAGCTGTCTCCAAAAATCAAAACAGAGGCAAACAAACGAGCAACACCAACCCAGCAGTGAGTTTGCCACCAGGAGCTGGGGTTTCAGTAGCGCTCAGTGCATGCTGCCGGAAGCCGAGTGCCCATCTGCAGCCTCACTTGTGTGCTCAGTGTGCTGTGATAGTTGAGTCTGAGCACATGTGCTAGAATCAGTTATCTCTAGTGTGCAGGTATGCCTCTTTCCTATTATTATACATTTTTAGAAAAATTTAAAAATAATTCTGAATAGACTCTCTTTTGAAATGAGTTTGCATTATAAGCCCTCTATTCTGAACACTTCATTGACAGAGGAAAGAAACATGGACAGAAGTGATCCCTCTCCACCGTTCTCCATTTGCTTCCGGAGATAGATCATTCGGTCATACATTCCCAGCACATTCACTTTCTGTATTAATGGGAACCGTGACTACTGGTGCCATAGACTACCATCTCCAGGGCATGCACCCACACTAGCTATGGGCTCCAATAATTATGCACTAATCTTATCAATAAACACATAACCTGGTAGTACTGAGTGAAGTTCCATCAGAAGTAGATAATTTCTTTCATAACACGCTATAGCTTGAGGCAGACTGGCATCTGTGTTTCTCTGTGTGGTTTGTCCCTCGTGTGATGGAATGCTGCTGTGACAGTGCAGAACTCAGCGAATACTACACACAGCATTTTTATAGTGTTCGTCTCGTTAAAATATTTTACTGTAAAAACATTGTGTGTGTGTGTTTGTGTGTCAGTCTATCCTTTCTTCAAACTGACTCAGTAGCCCTTATTACTCTAGTTTCAGGCCATGTATTTATTCTTTTGGCAGGCTCTCTGGTGGCAGCTATTTTAGCTACAGATGATGACTCTGGTGTGAATGGAGAAATCACATACATCGTGAATGAAGATGACGAAGAGGGTATATTTTTCCTGAATCCAGTTACAGGAGTCTTCAACTTGACCCGAGCCCTGGATTACGAAGCACAGCAGTATTACATCCTCACTGTTCAAGCGGAGGATGGTGGGGGACAGTTTACCACCATTCGAGTTTACTTCAACATCCTTGATGTTAATGACAACCCTCCTGTTTTCAGCATGAATTCTTACAGCACCTCCTTAATGGAAAATCTGCCCATTGGATCCACAGTCCTTGTGCTTAATGTCACCGACACAGATGATGGTATGCCATTTCTTGAATAAACATCTTTATTAAAATATAGTTTATATGATACTTGTGATAAATACTAATCTTATTTTTATTTTCTATGTTCTGTAAGTCTGTATCTAAAGGTGCAAACTAAGTTATGATTTAACTGTAGAGGATTTACAAATCAAATAATTTGTCAAATAATTTTTATAGCAATCATACAAGAGATTATAATTCTACAGACTGTACAAAGTTCATCTTTTGTTTTTGCTCTAAATGCTTTGGAAGCATTTTGGCTCAGTGATTCAGCAATCAGAGCTCATATTCTTTGTGAGTTTGTGTTAGGTAAAAATATTACACATATATGTATGTATATTACTTAAATCTGTTAAATTTAATTTTTTACATTAATTTAGTTAATTTAGTGTGCATGTGTGTATTAGTGTGCTTGTGTACATGCTATCATATACATGTGGAGGTCAGGGGACAACTTCTGGAGTCATTTCTCTCTTCCACCATGTGGGTCCTGGGCATCAAACTCAGGTCATTGGGCTTGGCAGCAAGAGCCTTAACTCCTAAGCCATATCACCAGCCCATATATTATTTAAACTCTAAAAAGTGCAAACTTTAGAAGCACAAAGAGAAAAAAATAAGAGAAAGATACTTCATAGTGTATATCTAAATTACATATTGCTTAATGGAAAATTGCTAATAACATTCTGAGAAGCATATGTCTACACTGAGAGGAAAAGCTCTGTTTAACTTGCAGTATACAATCAAGTTTAGGTGGGTTTTTAAAAAATTATTAATCTTATTTTAGTTTTATGTGTGTGCATGTGTGTATGTGTGTGTGTGTGTGTGTGTGTGTGTGTATTACATGTGCATGCAAGTGCCCTGGAGGCTAGAAGCACTGGCTCTCCATGGAGCTGGAGTTACAGGGGCTTGTGAGCTTCCTGATGTGGGTGCTGGGCTTGGGTGCTAAGAACCAGACTTGGGTCCTCTGCAACAGCAACATGTGCTCTTAACCTCCAATCCGTCTCTCTCCTGCTCTCAAGCTGAGGTGTTTAGGTGTTTTGTTTTGTTTTTTAATAAAATCTATGTGTGTTTGTTTTGTTCTTCTTTAAGCACACTGACTGCTGCTTTTCAAAGCTGTCTCCCTTGCCCTTTCCTCAGAGACTTTGTAAACTTAGCTGTGAGATGTGGGAGCACCTGACACAGGGTTGCACTCTACTCATCTTTAGCTTAGTTGCTGGGGAAGTCAGCTCCCTTGTTCCCAATTCCATTACACATAGCCAGTCTTATCAGCAGACAGAGCAGGGCACAGTAATCTGAAGAGGACATTAGAACTGCAGGTTGAGGACATGCCTCTTGATAGGGGCGTATCGGTATTAATTTAGAATTTCCTTATTCTTACTCAGGGGAATGACTTGTACAGTCTTGGAATTCCATTCTAACTTAACATTCCTTCAGCTCCATGTAGAGTTTCCTCTCTCGGCTGTCTTTCAGAAGTGCCACTGGCAAGATATAAGCAGAAAGCTCTTTTTAGAAGATACTGCTTCTTTAGACATCATTGAGCTAGTGCCCTTTGACGTTACCTCCTATTCAAGTGTAGTTAAAACTGGCACGCGGTTCTATTTAAAACAGAAGCAGCATAAACATTCACAACTCCTGTGCCTCTTGTTAATAAGTCATAGTAATGACAGGCGGCATTGTTGGCTGTTTAGTGTTTGATGTGTACCCATCCTACCTGAGGCTGTTGTCTTCTGTGTTTCCTATCCTCATCCTAGTCCAGCCACAGGTCCACACAGAACTGCAGCTGGCGCTCTGTTGGAGGCTGACTTCCTGCTTATATTACTTAGTTATTTGAGTTGTTCATGAATATGAACAAGAAATATTCAAAATGGCATTCATATGTTCTTAAATTATTTGTTCTTGTAGACATGCTCAACATTATGCATGCATGTATGTGTGCAGATACATGTCTGTATGTGCATATCTTTATGCAGGTACATATCTGTGTATGTCTGTGTGTGCATGTATATGTGTGGGTTCATGTCTGTGCATGTGGATATATGTGTGCTGGTACATGTCTATGTGTATTGTGCATGTCTGTGTACAGGTATATGTCTGTGTGTGTGTTGCACATGTCTATGTGTGGGTACCTGTTTCTCTGTGTGCACATATGTGTACAGAAACATGTCTTTGTGTGTATATCTCATGAATATGTATAGAGACATGTCCTTGTGGGTGTCAGTGTGGGTGTGTGCAAAGGGCAGAGGTTAATCTCTGAAGTCATTCCTCAGGCATTCTATGCCTTGTCTCACCGACCTGAAGCTTGCCATGTATGCTAGGCTAGCTGACCTTTGAATACCAGATTTCCACATGTCTCAGAGTCCTCAGCCTCAGCATTGCAAGTGTGATTCATCTACCATGCCCATAATTTTTATGTTGATTTTGGGGATCCAAATCAGGACCTCATGCTGCAGGGCAAGCTCTTTACTGACTAAGCACCTTTCTGGCTGTGCTCCACTTTTCCGTGATAAAGAATTTTCCACTGGGTCCCTTTGTGTATTATGATCCACTGAAGCTCAGCATGTAAAGCTGTGTGCTCCTAGGGAGTAAATTTTATTTGCTTTCATAATTTCAAATGTAAAGGACTGGGAAAATAATAAAGAAGAAATGGATCAGTCAAAACCTGATGGACTATCCCATGCACATGCAATTATAGACATATCTTAAGTGTGGAATCTGTCATTTTTCATGGAGTTTTCCCTTTAATTGTGTTACTAAAAGTTGTAAAAGTTTCAAGCCACCCATTGTTTTAGCTTGAATACTTTTATCAGCATAATTTCCTGTACCTTGACCTAAAATATGTGGCACAATTCCTATTCTTTCTGAATTTCAAGGACAATGATAAGAGTGACCTTGTTTCCATCCCTAGTTGTCATACAAAAAAATATTAGACATTTGAAAATTAATAAACTCATCTCAATCTCTGATCAGAAAGTTCCCTGTGGGGTGATTCTGTCAACTTTTAGGTAAATACATTTTATAGGAGAATAACTTCAATATTTTGTATACACACTCAGAGTTTAAACTTTAACATTTCAGCATAACAATATCATAAGAATAAGGCCAATCTTTCATTAGTTTCAGCATATAAGCAATAACTGTATTAATCTCAAAATATCAGTGTACATGTTAGAAAGCATTATGCTAAACTAAATACCATAAATTAGCATATCATGAAATGTCTTGGATTATTATTTTGTCAGTCTGAAAATAACATATACTTAAGGACACTGGGTGGCCATATAAAATTTTGGATAATGATGTCACTGTCATTTTTGCTCAATAATTGTGTCCATTTATCACTGGTGCATGACATGGACTGAATAATGAATAAATTTCATATTCCGGTGCTGTGAGGACCTTGCTGAAATTACTTCCGGCTAAGTCATTTCTATGTGTTCGAGCTATATGATAGGGCCACAAATACTCATTCTTTACATAAATAAGACAACATTTACATATTGTGAATAAATGCACACATTTATAATAGAAGTATATCTATAGTTTCAAAGTTTATTTTATCATTTATATTTTTTATATTTATATAATGTTCTATATTCCCAGGAAATAAAATATACACTCAAATATCATATATGTTCATGATCACACACACACATGCATGCACATACACTCAACCACACCTCAAACATGCATGCACTCTTGCACACATGTGTACATGCACTTGCACAGTGCCCCTCCCCACACCAGTCAAATACCTGTGAAGAATCATGGAACCACATGACTTTCAGGACATGAACCCTAGATGCTTCACACGTGAGCTCTTTTCAGTGTAACTACAAGCCCACTAAATATGTGTTTTAACACTTATGGATAAATTTAAAATTAAGGAAAAAACAAAGTATTGACTGTCTTGTGATTCAGACATTTTGATGTAAAGAACCAAGGTAGGAAAAAATAGTCCAAATATTGTAAATTTTCAGGATAGTTCCAATGCTGAGAGGGAACTATTGCGTTTTTCTATGCCTACATGCATTTTCTAGGTATAGAACATAAGCCCAGAGTTCCTAAACTCCTGAGGAGAACATCCCATTGTTAGAGTAGAGGTTGACGTTTTCCATGGTCTATGACCACAGGCATTGGTTAGAGTTCTGAGATAAGGGTTATTGCTCAGTGTTACACTATTGTGTGCCATATTAGCTGTTTTTCATATTTTTTTCAAGTATCATAATCATAGTTGATCTTTTGTTTATTTTTAATGGTATTACCTAACATTTATGATTATGAACTAAATATAAATCTTTTCATTCATAGAGATAAAGTTTCATATTTATTACTTTCCTTGTTGACACATCCCACCAACTGTTTTTCCTTCAGAAACAGGGCCATTCTGCTCACTACAAGGCTATAAAATCTTGATATCCTGTTCTCTTTTTCTGCTAAAGTTTAATGTTTACTCAAGGAAGTAGTGTCCATGTGGACCCCGATGTTCAAACCTTTGCTGTAATCAGTCACAGTCCAGCTGGTTTATGTGAATTTTGCAGACCACCACTTCAGTCATGTAAAATTTTGTCAGTATTTCTAATTTCTTTTGATCTTGCATATGAAAGATTTTTATGTTTTCACAGGACTACATATCCTTGTAGGTTCTTTGGTATTATTTTTCTTCTGTGTTTTTGTAGCTGTTTGCCTGTGATTGCATATGGGTCTTGGAAGGAACAAGGATTTCACATTTTTTGCTGGTTTTGTATTAGGAAATTCAGATAATGTCCATATTAATTTAAACAATAGTTTTTATTTAAATAACACTCCTCTATACATATAATCAAAGTTAATATTTTATATCAAAGTTGATGAAACTTTTCTCAAGCCTGGGCAATTTTAAGTCAAGAAGGTGAAGCAGTCAGTTGATCTTCTTCAATTCAGATCTTAAATTCTTCCTCTCCTGCTGGTAAATTGATGTGTGGCCCCTTGAGTATTAGTTATTCATATTTTTCCTGATGTTCAGGCTCCTAATGTTATAATCTTTGCTTCACTTGTTCTTGATGAGTTTTAGTACACTGCACAGACTAATCACCACAATGTTATACTTGACCTTTCCACAGATCTATGTACTGTGGTTTACCCAAGAAAGTTTGGACCAGTAAATCAGCACTTGAATTTGTCTTTTAAATGTCTTTCTTCTGTATCAGCATATGGGCAAAGGAAGTTAGAGAGAGAGCATCAAGCTACAGGAAACGAGCAAGTATGGCCTCCTTAAGAACAGGTGCCATACTGAGAAAGGAGAAAGATATTCCATTAATTGGACCTCGATAAGATTAAAAAAAGAAATTTCAAATGCTTATGCAAGTATTCGCAGACTCCTGAGGAATACCTTTCAGAACGACAATAAAGAGTAAAATATTCTAGAAGACTCTTGGCAAACAGCAGACATCATTTCTGATAGGGAGAGCTCAGAAAGATAAACAGTTGAAATTAATGTTGGCAATATTAGCACTACCTCTCTGTAAGCAATCTATGTTACACACTGGTATTCTTAAGCCACAGACTAGAAAGTCTTTACAGAGGATGAATGTCTCCATGTACAGCGCACTTCTGACCACAGTGCCCTCTAGGACCCCCAATGTCTGTAAGATAAGATACAAGAATGCACATGGTGTTGTGAGTTCTTTAGGAAAATACTATTCTAAGGCAGAAAATTTGACTTTTTCTGTTTTCCTTGCTTATCTATAACTTACCTTTCAATAATTAACCAATAAGGACATATTTACATGTATACATTAGATAGAGTGTAATAATTAGAATGATTAGAATGGAGAATGAGAAAAGGTTCTATGAAAAGAAAAGGAGTGGATTCTTTTTTTTTTTTTGCCTTTTCATGGTGGATGTGTGTATTCAACTTTCTAAGTATTGAACAAGCAAGAATCATTTCTGTATTCCTTAAGAGTTCAGTAAATGTTGTCCTTTTCAGGCAGTAACTGAGAGAGTTGGGCATCCTTTTTGAGCCCATAGACCAATAGTGCAGTGGGAATTGGCCATGACTGGACACTGAGTTGTTGGTTAAATGGAATGAGATAATACCATTATTGTTCTTGGTAACTACTTATTTTGCTATACATTTTTAAATTTTCTAATAAAAATTTTAAAAAAGCAGAATGGCAGATATACTCTCAACACCAGCTTTATTATAAGAATTTTTGCAATTATTTTCCAAAACAAGTTCAATTTTTTAAATTAAAAAATAACACATATTCATAGGAAAAAAGACACTACAACTGATAAGAGCATGAGCCTTTCTATTTGGAGACTTTAATATGTAACATTGTTGCTAACAGTTTCTTTAAGGAATGCTTTTTTCAAAACTTTGACTATATAATAAAACTTGAGAGTGAGCTATTTCCTCAAAGGCTGTTACTTGGCCAGATGCTTAATAGGAATTAAAAGGTAGTTATTAGTTCTGACAAGAAATGTAAAAGTAGACTTAAAGCATCCATGACTAATGTCCTACACCAGAACATTTTATTACTTTTCTCTGAAAGCTGGTGTCAGCCTCAATAAATTACTGAAGTTATAAACATTTAGCTAATAGCAGAGTGAGACGCTCTCAGCATTGGACACCAGAGAATTATGTGATAGAAACAAAGAAAACTGTAGAAAAATATCTGCTTTCTGGGACATTTTTCTCCTGTTCACTTTTATAATTTAAGATGTCAGCATTGCAGTAAATCGGATGCCCTATATAGATCATTTGTGCACCAGACTGTAAACATTTTTCAGATCAAAGGCACACACGAGAGTTATGCAAATGTAGTATTTACCATACATATTTAACTACAGGTAAGTCATTCATAATTGCTTCAAACGATTCATTTGGAACCACCCAGAAACTCATGAATAATACTGTCATACATGTGGTAGTAATGTCTGAATTTTTGGTATGGCTTATCCTACAATCATCACGTTTAATAAGCTTAATTTTACCACCTTTCACTTTCAGGCATCAACTCTCAACTGGCCTACAGCATTGCCTCAGGTGATAGCCTTGGGCAGTTCACAGTGGATAAGCATGGTGTTCTCAAAGTCCTCAAAGCTCTGGACCGTGAAAGTCAGTCTTTCTACAACCTGGTGGTCCAGGCCCATGACTTACCTCAGCCTCCTGCCACCAGGTTCACAAGTACCACTCAAGTCTCCATCATTTTATTGGATGTCAATGATAACCCACCCATGTTTCTTTCCCCCAAGCTGACGTACATTCCAGAAAACACACCAATAGATACTGTTGTTTTCAAGGCTCAAGCAACCGACCCAGACAGTGGCCCAAACAGCTATATCGAGTATACTCTCCTGAACTCTTTGGGAAACAAATTCAGTATTGGGACCATTGATGGGGAGGTGCGGCTCACTGGAGAGCTGGACAGAGAGGAAGTTTCGAATTACAGTCTAACTGTGGTGGCCACAGACAAAGGGCAGCCACCCCTGTCATCCTCTGCAGAGGTTGTAGTCATGGTCCTGGACATTAACGATAACAGTCCTGTTTTTGCGCAGTCTGTGTATAGAGTGCAGATTAAAGAGAACACACTCACGGGGACAGATATAATCCAGGTGTCTGCAGCAGATGGGGACGAGGGCACCAATGGACAGGTTCGTTATGGCATCGTGGATGGAAACACCCATCAGGAGTTCAGGATCGACTCTGTCACAGGGGTCATCACCGTGACCAAGCCTTTGGATAGAGAAACAACTCCTGCTTATGTTCTAACAGTTCAGGCCTCAGATCGGGGCAGCAGCCCCAGAACCGATGCCTGTACTGTCACCATCGCTCTACTGGATGTGAATGACTTTGTCCCCATATTTGAACTTTCTCCATATTCTGTGACTGTCCCTGAGAATTTAGGAGCCCTGCCCAGAACCATTCTCCAGGTCAGTATATCTAAGTCAAGCAGAGCTGGCAGTGCCATGAAACATCTGTCTGAAATGCTCACTTTCTAAGCTGCATTCACCATGTCCTCATCTTCTCCAGGTTCTCAGGGATAAATACTCTACTGAGGATATAGAGATCTTGATCAGCGCTTATAAGCTTTACACTTAAGGCCTAGTATCTTGCATATATTTGCAGATTCACATATTTTAAAATTTTCTTTCACTATGGGAGTAATATTTGCACATACTACTATGGATAAATAAGATGATGTCAAAGTTTAGAAAAGTATCATTCTGCCTTCTCTCTTTACAAAACAAAATATAGAATAAAACAAAATTATCTGTCATTGGGACTGGAGAGATGACTCAGATGACACTTGATGCTCCTGCAAAAGATGTGGGTTCAGTTCCCAGGACCCAAATGGTGGCCAACAACTGTTGGTAACTTCTGTTCCAGAGAATCTGACTCCCTCTTCTGGTCTCTGAGGGAATTGCACATATGGGTGTACTTAAAAACATGCAGGTAAAACACTCATTTATATAAAAATAAAATTGTAAATGCTGTTATTAATTTTCTTGGAAGCTTTCTACAATGCTATACATTGGGTTTATGCATAGATTTACACAAATGTGTGTACAGTACATACCAGTATTTTCCATTTAAAATATTTTATTTATTATTTTCATTTTATGTGTATGAGTGTTAGGCCTGCATGTATGCAAGTGCACCCATGTCATGCAATGCCCAGAAAGGGACCTGGAGTTATGGACAGTTGTTAGCTGCTATGTGGGTGCTGGGAACTGAACCCGGGCCTTCTGCAAGGGCAACCACTGTTCTTAAGTGCTGAGTTATCTCTCCTACCCCAGTATTTATCATTTTAACTTTCACTTGATAACTTGAATCTCTCTGTTCACAGCAAGGAAATGCAGCTCAGCCTCATTATCCTCAGTGTCCATCCAATGTCTTGTGTTAGGTTACTCATTGCAGTGGTGTTACTGTACTCCCTGTAGGTGGTGGCAAGAGATGATGACCAAGGACCCAATAGCCAGCTCTCCTATGTTCTGCTTGCGGGGAATGAAGACAGTGCCTTTGCCCTCACTGCCAATGGAGAGCTTCGGGTGACTCAGAGTCTGGACCGGGAAACCAGGGAAATCTTTGTCCTGGTGGTCACAGCTGCTGATGCAGGTGCGTCCTGACAATTTTGTTCAGTTTCAAGTAGGATCCTTATAAGCAAATGAAAATAAATTTACTTATTATTGAATTACATATTTATTGAAGTTTTCTAATGTTTGAAATGACCACTGTTTCTTAAAAGTGCATTGAACATGGCTGATGGGGTAAGCAGTAAGAGACTATGTACACCCAATAAAGGTCAGCTTCTCTGCAGGAGAGTCTCCTTTCTTTGAAGTCACTAGGGAACCTCTGAATGTGACCTACTTCTAGTCAATCCCCAGTGCCCAGCTCAGGAGGCATTTAAAGTATTTAAGTTTTGATGCATCTAAATGGTTCCATGATTAGAGAGGGTCCAGATTTCTATTTCATGTCCCTAGTAGGCTCCTCAGTATGATAGTTGTCAGGAGCATTTGCTGAGACTTGGCCTGTGATAAATTTCTGTGCAAGTACATGTGCATATATTTACATATATTTGCATATATGTGTGTATTTTTATATGTAATGTTAATGTGAGAATGACAATATAGAGTAGTAACAAATTCCAAATGAACTATTTTTATTGTTGAAATGTTTTTGATAAATATGTTATGAAATTCCTGTTGAATCTGATCAGTTTCAACAAAATGGTGGGTTGTTTTGAGGCCCTGCTCAAAAACCTGCAGGAAATTCTGAGATTATAGTTAATGGTGCATTCCACAGACAGTACTGCTGATCAAACTGAGTGCTATCCTCACCCTCTTTGTCTCTCTGTTTCTCTGTCTCTATTTCCATCTCTGTCTTGTCTCTTTGTCTCCCTGTCTCCTCTCTCTTTTTCCTCTCTCTTGCTTCCTCTGTGGGCTTTATGGAAGAAAATAATACTCCTTATATTTTTAGTGTGTATAAATTGCCTAGTCTTACATTATATGCAAACTCTAAAATCCTGAGGAGAAACAGAGTGTAGTGTGTAGTCATTTAAAATTTAAACCAAGATAATCAGAAATGTGTTTGTTATGTACACTGCCAGTGTCTTCACTGTGAGCAGGCATTAAGTGTAAGCATTTTCATATGAAAACAAAGAGCTAGTTGCACAAATCTATCAAGCATTTAAAGCTACCTGGAGAGGGGAGGGGAGGGGAGGGGAGGGGAGGTGAGGCAAGGGAATGAACTCAGTAGCAGCTGTAGAGAGTTAGATATTTAGAAGCAAAGTTTTATTGCTAAAATATCCTAGCTTCAGCTGTCATGGCTAGTTACAACTGGAAGCCTGTGGTGTGGTCAGCACTAGGCACACACAATTACAAACACACTTTGTAGAAAGGAAGTGGTAGGGGTGGAAACTGGAACCAGAACTCCAGCTTCCCCAAGCATCCATCACTATCAAACTTGTTGCACAGTGTCAGGCATCTTGAGTAGTGAGGGAAGTTCGAGACAGGGCTACAGTGTGAGGTAACAGGCAGGGCACAACCTACGGAAGTTCCCTTTAGGGAATTATGGCTTTTGAGCATTCTAAGTCAAGAGTCTTGGCAGAGAGAGACCCTTCAATATAATCTAGAATGCCCTCTCTTCCAAGTGCTCTAAAGGATTAAAAAAATTAGTGCTATGCAGCAAGGGAGGGGATATTGGGAAAGGAAGGGGAACATTGCTTTTCTGTGGATCCTTGATTTTTTATTATTTTTTGTAGGCACTCACGTCCATGGGCAAGCTAAGTTCTCAGACTGTGAACCTTCTGCATGTGATTATTTTGTTGTTGGTATCATCTCAATTACAAGACAAACACAAGAACAGCTATTTGTTCAGTAGAATTTGCACAGTATTGTGTAGCTAGTAAATTACATGCTCAGCAGTGAAACCAACCCTTGTAAGCTCAGGGCATATGAGGCTTTAGTATGTGGTGAGAGGAGGATTTGGGAGAAGTATTTACTTTATGGACTTTTGTAAATGAGCAGTTCTAGTCATAGCACAGGATAGTGATGGAAGTTTGAGTGTGAATCTGTCCAACCTGAATTCTGGATTCTCTGCAGACCTACTGAATTACCCTTCTCAAACTCAGCATCTCCTGTGAAATGGTAAGAGTCTTAGCTTCATTTCCTGTTGCTGTGATAAAATACCCCAGGAAAGCAACTTAACAAGGAAGGGGTTGGGGCTAGAGAGATGGCTCAGGGATTAAGAGCACCCGCTGCTCGTGCAGAGGACCTTGGTTCGATTCCCAGCCTCCACTTGGAGGCTAACAACTGTAACTCCAGTTCCAGGGGATCTGACACCCTTCCCTGACATCCAAAGGCATTGCTTAACAAAGGTGCACTTAAGTACATGCAAGCAATACACTCATACACCAAAAATAAAAATAATAAATAAAATATTTTAATAAAAAAGAGGAGAGATGGCTCAGCAGTTAAGAACACTAATTGTTCTTGCAGAAGACCCGGGTTCGAATCCCAGCACCCACATGACAGCTAACAACTGTCCATAACTCCAGTCCCAGGGGATCCAACAGCCTCTTCTGTCCTCCGCGGTCATTGCACGACACGGGTACGCTTACCTACATTCAGGCAATACATGAATACACACAAAATAAAAATAATAAATAAAATATTTTAAAAAGAGAGAGAGAAAAGGTTTATTTTGCTACCTGTTGCTTACCAGTCTATTGTGAGAGGTAAAGGTGGCAGAAACCGGATGCAGCTGGTCACGTGACATCCTCAGTCAGGAGCAGGGAGCAGTGCTTGCCAGTGCTCAGCCGGCTTCCTCGTTTTCATTCGCTCTACAGCCCATCTGTGAAACAGTGCTGCCCCCATTCAGGGTGGCATCAAAGTTAACCCAAATAAGAAACTCCCTGACAGGCGTGCCCGCAGCCCAGCCTGGAAAATTTCTCTTTGAGTTTCCCTTCCCAGGTGATTCTAGATTGTGTCAAGTTGACAACCTAAACCAATCGGCACAAATAGTAACTATGAAGTTCTTACCTTGAGGTATAACTGACACGTTGCCTGTGAGATTACGTACTTATTCCAACTTTGCACCGCATAAAATGACTTTACTAATACTTGTGATCCAAAAACTGTAAATATTTAAACACTCTTTAAAATGGCTTTTCGTTTTCCTTACTACCCAAGTGTTCTGAAAGATGCAGGCACTGGATTTTAAAATCCTCACTTTCAAAAAGTTACAGTGTATATAGAAATTTACCTTGCTGAACTTTATTTTACAGATTGCTACCTTAGGAATTTCTTTTGTGTTTCAAAGGTTTTATTGCTTAGTAAGTGTTTGACTGCCCAGAAGTGTCTTAGGTTTTACAAATGATTTCATCCTCATTAACCACTGAGCCATCTCTTCAGCCTCACTTGTAATATTTCTTCCTAAGAATGATGACACAGAAGGGGCACCTCATTGGGAAGAAAAGAGGACAATTTGAAATGAGAGATGTAAAAACATTCCCTTCTCATAAACAGAGATGAGTCAGCCTGTTTGGAGAAACGTTGAGAAGATAGTCAGTAAAGCACTGGCTTAAATATGCACACAGTTCCAGGCCCAGATATCCAGAATGTATAAACACCAGCCTTGATATGAAGAAATTCAGGGCCCTGGGGTCTCACTGTAAGGAAGAGTACCAGAAGTGTAAATCTGGTGTCTCTGAAGAATTCTTGCTGTATGTAGGGATCCACTGCCTTCAGATCTTGTCTGAAACTGACTTAACTTGTGAAATTTTTGAGTTAAACACGGTAAAAGTTAGGCATGATGTACATGTTTTTATTCCCAGCACTCGGAGGCCAAGGTGGGATTGCTGCAAGTTGGAAGCCAGCCTGGTCTACATAGTAAGACTGTCACCAACCAACCAACCAACCAAACAAACACTAAAGGTTAAATATTGGCAAAATTAAAGCATTTAGAAGTGTCATTCAGGGCTTCTTCAAAATGGTGCTAAAGGTACCTTGAGCCCTAGAACACAGGTCTGTGTAAGAATGGCTCTCACAAGTTTCTCTGAACAGGCTTATGTCCCTGGAACCACTGGTAGCAAAATCCTCAACAAGGTTCTTTTGCTCAAATTAGCATAGATGGCAAGCTGACCTTCTGAGGAGAGTCCACTGGAAGATCTTCAAACCTTTGACACTCTCCAAACCCCAGCCTGTGCTTAGTTAATCCCTAAACCTAGTTTGATTGGATGAGTAACCCCACTCCCAGGGGAATGTGAGCATTTGCAATACCAGTCCTGTTTTCTAGGCTTGAGTTAACTGATGAGGAACTTAAAATACACGCTGTCTGCTATGATTTAAGAGTCAGAATGGTAGATGACATGAGAAAATTCAGAAAAATATGGCAGGGCTCAGGTCCCAGATGCCACGCTGCTCTCGAATTTGTAGTGTTCACAGGATAAGGAAAATGTCAGAGTGTTCTTAAGAGAAAAAGCATTTGGCGGTTTTATTCCTTATCTTGCAAATCACCTTTGCTTTGCTCTTTTGTGAATCCTGCCTGCTAGCAGCCTGAAGATCCGCCAACTGTGGCAATACGGGAGGAACGGAAGCAAGCAGCTTTCTAATCTTGCCGAACTCTGAATCTTCAGCTTCTCTGAGAAATCACAAGTGTTCCAGCTCTTGTCATATTTTATTTTACTGACTGCATGTCTGCAAAGCAGCACATATGGAAACTCATCCCCATTCCTGTCTGATACTCAAAGTGAGCTACACCCATCCTGCCCTAACTGAGAGTGAATTTGCCTTACTAAAACATCTAAATCAGAACAGGGGTAAAAGTCTAGCTCACATTTCCTACATGATTAAAATGCTAAACAGACTAAAAATTAGGCATGTCAGTTTGCTTGTCTTCAAGGAAGAGTATGGATATTTTTCTGCTTTATGTACTGCTCATGGTATCTGTGCCACACTGTTAATTGTTATTTCTTCTGGAATATGGGGATCTGAATAGAGACCCCTACCAGCCTGTCTTTTCTCCTGGTGAAATGGAGCGCCTTCCTGGTTTCTCCTGAGAGAGAGAGAGCATGCCAATACAGCTGACTCCCACCCTTCACATGGTTAGGTTTCCTG